TGCATGAAAAAAAAATTACACTCTTTCAAACCTAAACCAGTCACAGAGGTAAACGATGAATTTTGAGTAAATGTCTTTGATTAACTTTGAAAATTGCATGAAAAAAATTCTACTATTTTACAGCTAAGCCAATTAAAAAGGTGAAGGATGAAATTCAAGCAACAAAGAAAAAAGCAATTTGGAGGTAGGACACTGAGCCTTTGCTTCACAGATCAAGAAGCTCAGGAAGAGATTTTGCTGGGTGGACCAACCCCTTTCTGGGTCAGCTCCTGCACACATCTTTTGCAACCTGTCTAAACTATACAAACTTGTTTTATTTGTTCCTTCCCTGGTTTTAGTTTTTTCACCCTTCTTTCCAGTTTGATCAAAACAGAAAACATGGAGTATAACAACTCAAAAATGGTGTAACAAACATGTAAACGTCACCACTGTTACTTCTTTAGTCAAGATATAAGTTAATTAAATGTAACTTGTTATATTTTACCTGAAAACGTGGCCACGTTTTTTTACATCTCTCCCTCCATTTCGACTTGTCCTCCAACGGGAGGCTTGGGACTTATTTCATCTTCGGGGCACCTTCGAAAACGTTCGTAAGGTGTTCGCTATTGCCCGAACATCCCACGGAAGTAAGCGCGAAAGTAAACTGTTGGAAGAACTCCTAGTACGTTGAACAGAATAGGAAAATGGCTTGAATATTAGGATAAATTTTGTAAACAAATATCAGCCTGATTTGAATTTCCCGCGCACCGCTTTGTTTTGAAATATATTCTCGTACCAAGCCCCAACGGCTAAAAGGGGCAGGTGGCTCTGGGGACAAGCATTGGACGAGAAGATGGATGGGGGAAGCGTCACCATATATATCCATAACATTTTAAATGCACTGCTGAGGGACAAATTCGTTTGACTGGTATAGCTACAAGTAATATGCGAAAAACAAGTTTAATCTCGGTCTCGCGGCTTGCTCAGGCCTAAATATCATGACGAACATGGTGGCCAGAGAAAACAGACTACACGGGTACAATCAGGACACAATTTTCATTAATTTTTGAATCCTCGACATTCGAGGTTGCTTTTCCAGTTTTCTTC